TGGACCCCGCAGATTCGCCTTTCCAAAAGCATTAAGTCAATCCTCGCCATATAGTGTTCCACCTATTTCTTGTTTTTTGAATCCAATCAACTGCGTGCCTGGCTGAAGGAGAGCAATAAAGCGGTTTTTTGCCAGCTACTGTCTCTCAAACAAATGGCTCCTCTGTTGTGGCAGCATGCAACCGTGGAAACCAACCCAAATTCGCGCATTTATTGGTTTTGCTGCGTGGCCAAGGTCAGGGGACACCCTGAACCGCTGCATTTGTAATGCTCTCAAGTCTGTATTTCATGGACAACTTCGGAATAATCACATTTACAGCGGTCGCACTTTTTTACCGCAAATCATGAGCAATTCTTTTTACCTTATTGTTGTTTTCGAGCGTGATTAACTCGCCTGCACTCAACCGAATATCCTTGACAACTTACAGTCCCTGCGAATCGGATCTGACTGGTCGCATAACATTTATTAACGTACAACAGATTCACCCAAAGTCTGCGCACACCCACGTGAAAATGCTTGAATATAGAACAGAAAGCAGGGGTTTATCAAAATACTCATCTTCACAGTCGTTCTGGATAAGATGAGACTTGCCAGGCAAAGACATAAGAAACAAGCATTATCATATAAGGATATCGTATGGGAACTTCCGTTGCCCGAAGAGTAGACATGGATGGATGGAAATCTGGCGTCTCACGCCCATACCTGAGAAAAAATAAAATAGAGCAGTAACCTTGGTTAATCATGACAATACGGAAAAACGAAATTTAAGTAGGTGTGGTATTTCAAATTTGCACAGAGGCAGTAGCGCCGCACTCAAACTGCTACGCGCCAAAGGTGCGCAGCATTAGCAGGTAATATAAAATACTGGGGAAAGGATCGAGTCGGATAAGCGCGAATGTAGCCAGTAATACCAACTTCCATGGACAGCTATTCATGCCAGTGGTCTCATTATAAAAACCAGCCCGATCGACCCAGCAGAAGGCCAGTACTGGTTTAACTACTCCCACTCGGCTGACAAAAGTGGCCCTAAATTAGCAAGTGCTTAAATAAAAAACTCCAGCTAACCTAGTAACGACGGCCTCAAATTAAAGTCCAGGTTTTTCTCGGCCCAGGGTATGGCTAGTTGATGTTGGAGAATAAGCAAAAGATAAGAATATTGGTCTTTCCCAGCTATATCGATCTGGTCGATCGATCGAAAAATGTGACCGCCTGCCATGACCTCAACTACGATTTCAGAAATTAAGACTCATTTTCCAAACCACAAAAAATCAGCAGGTAAATTCCTTCGCGTTTATACCCCATAAAAAAGAAATTCCGAGAGGAACGAATGCATCGGTCGCATGGATCTCGCGAGCTCTAAACAAGAATCGAAACAGAGACAAGTGAGTGAAACGCAAAGTTTGGTGGGAATATACCACGTGCACCGGGCATCCACAGGAACCTTCTAACAGGACCCATGTAGCGCGAAGTTGTGTAAGCTTTTCGTGCCCTCATGCGGTATGGCGTCATTACAGTACTGACCACTGACGCTCCGGTCAGATTGGTTAGACTGTAAGCAACCGACCGACTGAGTAGTAAGGGCATTTGGGGATGCCCCTGGTAGGTAGCAGATACGGGGACCGACCTGAATAGCCGCTTCACACATTATTCTGATTACAAAACAGCAGGCAGTTGCGTCCTTCAAAGATTTGGCGTTTGCTCCTTTGTGGTTCTTTCAGCATTCGTATGCGAGACTGGCAGTTGGCAAGAGTGTGGAAGAGAGTGTTAGGTGACTGTTTTAACGGATTTTTTGCATTCCGTGAGATAATTTTCTCTTACTCGATGGTTCTACATGACTCGTGTGAATGGCCAAGCCTCGACTGAAATTTTAAAGCTGTTAGTGGTTTCGTAAGTGAAGAAAGCATACCGGCAAAGTCACCCTTTTAGACAGTCTTTGAAATCATTTGCCAAGGGTTGTCATCACCACGGCATCCATATGCAGTTCGACCGTCGATTTCGACATCTAGCACAGCAGGCTAAGAGCAGGGACGGCGAATTCGTTTACAGTGGTAGTGGACTTGCGCAAAGTCTACCGCACCCTCCTCTTCCCCCGCCTGGGCCCGGTGTCGAGACATAGTCAAGAAGACCGGAGGCGGAGGAAGAGCGTAGGTGGCCGGACCAACACCTAGGCGCACCACCACCCCCTGGTCCACATCAAGCACTTGACCAGGATTTTAGACAACAACAGAAATGGGGAACCTCGTTGCGGGTGCGGTTCGGCATGGTTATGACAGTTCGATCGTCGTGACCGACGATGTCCACCGTGTGCTTCACAGCAAGGTGAGAGCAGGCATGATGACTTGGGGTGATTTAGTTTATAGTGAATTCGGACTTGTGCAGCATTTACCGCACTCTCCTCTTCTCCTCGACCCGATGTCGAGACATAGTCAAGGAGACCGGAGGCGGGAGAGGGCGTAGGTGGCTGGTACGGCCGGACCAGCACCTAGGCGCACCACAACAGCCCGTGGTCCACAAGAAACACTTGACCAGGATTTTTACTGACAGCGACACAACAGAAAGAGGAAGAGGGTGACCAGGCAAACGTGCACACGACCCAGCGAGAGCGCAAGCACATCTAACGGCAGGAGACCAGGTGTCCGAGAGTTGCCAGTGCACAGGGCTATAGTGCGAGGGCTATAGTTTGTTGGATCATGGCATAGAAGACGCATTCAATCGTTAAGGCTCAGAGGGGTGAGGGGCAACCGTGCATTAAATCTGGACCATTACCCCTCAACGGTCGAGTAACCAGTCAGTCATCGACTGAGAGACACTACCCATGTATAAACACACACACACACACTCCTCACATGCGTCAGAGTGCCTATAGACTTGCGCCGCACCTACCGCACTCTCTTCCCAGCGTCTATACCCAGTATCAAGACAGAATCATGAAAACCGGAGGCCGGAAAGGTGGCTGGCACAGCGAAAACCCACACCCAAATGTGCCAACACACTCTCCGGTCCATAACGCACACTGACCAGTATTTCACGCATAATAAGCGAAGAGGGGGTCGGCTCTGGTCCCACTTGATGTGAGTGCCATAAAGCCCACAGTAAGCAGGATTCATTGCAGCCTGACTCTCAGTTCACCGGTCCACCAACTCACACAAACACAAATCGAACTGACTATGACCTCCGAGTTGTTCCTTCAGTTGGCAACCTCCCAAGCCACGGATTTTTGCGCGTCGTGATAGCTTTTAGCGTGTCCGCTTGTCTGTAGAGAATAATGTGCGCTGAGACGTCGACCTCACTCTCCCTTTCCCATGCTCCAGCCACTGTCTGAGCCGGCCAGATGTCTGGTGTGGGAAATGGACGCAGTGGCTGACAGAACCGGAGAGCCCGAATGCGCGTGCCGCACACGCGACCTGACTCACAAGTCCACGCATTGGAATTTCGCTCAGAGGGTGGGAGGCTCCGATCTCACATATAACGGAGAATTCAAATGGATAATGGAGCCGAAAAGCGCACTTCCCACTTACGTGGGAGATGCTGGCGATGTGGGGTGTTGGCGGTATTCATATGTTGATTGGGGAATGTGTGGTGATTTAGTCATGTTCGCGGTAATTTAACGCAGGTTTCCACAGGGGCGCACGTGGCCGAATAGGCTCACGTGATGGCTGAATGCGCGGGAGCGATGCGAGCAGTTGAGACGATGGCGTCTGGTGTTTGTCGGTGTTCCAGGCACCGGTTCGCAAATTCTGTGCGACGTGAATTCGCAAGTGACTAGCCAGACCGATGCGTGAGGTGGGGCGTGCGGCCGCAATGTGGGCAGGATAGGTTGAGAGGTGTTAGATCGGTTGTCGGTGTAGTTCTGTTAATGCTGGGAGCGCTGGTCGATGGCGAGGCGATAGGACTGGGGATGTGAGGGTTGGTGGATGCGCAAGATGCGTTGTTTGTATCGATATTGCGGTGAATTCTGCTGTTGTGGATATGCATGTGTGATTAATGAACATATGTGGACGGTGATGGCGGATGTGGTGAGTGTATGTGGGGCTTTTGGCACTGCCCGACTGTCGCAGTGAGATGGATTCGCAAGCGACCGACCAGACTGATGCGTGAGGTGAATGTGCGATCACAATGGTGACGGGTTGGGACCGAGCCCCCCGCTGAAGGCGGGAGTGGTAATGGCAATGGTGGTGGTTTACGGGCTGTCGGTGGCGTTTCGACCGGTAGCGGCAGTGAGAGCTGTGGTGGTGACCGCCGTCGTCGTCGTTGACGTCGCTGAGTTTGCGGCAGAGATGATGTAGATGGCTGTGACCGACGACGGCACGGCATGAGGATTCTCGGCGCCGGTGATCAGGATGGGCGTCGTCGTAGACGCCATGAGGGGTTGCAGAAGGCGCGATCGAAGAGGCAGTATTTGGGGTTGTCGGGCCGTTTGTGTATTGGAGGCCGATTTGCGCGCGGAATGTTCGTTGACATCGCGGACATTGCGGGAAGGGTTGGTGGTCGGCGTTTCGGTTCAGAGGCGCCTGAGACTTGCAACCTTCCCTTTTGGCTTTGCATTGGCGATCTGATTGGCTTCACAGATAGCCGCTCCAGTCTTCACTGCTTTTCTCCCGGCCAGCCGGTCCTGTGCGAGTTCATTTCAAATCTTCGGGTTCATCTGTAGTCACTTCAAGGAATCCTCCACGAGGTCCTTATAACGATGGGCTTGAGCTCCTTGTCAGTAGAGACATCTACGTAGAAGAGTTTCTTTGGCATACATTCGTTGTCTCTTCTCACGAGGTGGCCGCTCCATTATAGTTGCAGTTGCCTCGGCATGATGTGGATTCTGAGGATGCCGGTTCATCTTAAATCTGCTGTCCTTGGGATCCTGTCCTGTCGCCCCGGCCTTAGCATCTGTCGGAGACAAATGAGGTGGAAGTGATTCAGTTCCCGCCTTGTTTCTCTTAGACCATCCAAGTCTTCGCGCCATACAACAGCTTCTTTAAGCTGACTGCGTTCTACACCTCTAGTTTGTTGGCGAGGAAGAGAGCGTGACGATTCCGTACGGAGTTCTGCAGCCGGCCGATGTTTGGCTGGCTTGAAATATCCGTTGGGCTACTTCGCCGTCTATTTTGATGCAGCGTGAGATTGCGCCACCTAGGCAGGCAAATTCGTTCACGGTATTCAGTTGGGTACCAATGACATGTATGCCAAGAGCACTGTATGCCGCGTTGGGTGACGGTTGTTGTACGAACACCGTTTGTTTTATTGTCAGGTCGAAGTCGGCGCAGCCGGGGGCGAAGAGTTCCACGCTCCTTTGCGCGTCAATTTTTCTCAGTGTTGTGTCCGTAGTCGTCAGCAAGCAGCAGGCCGTGAATAGTAATCGTGGAGAAACTTGCTGAGGCCTTCATGCGCCGGCTGTCCAGAAGATGGCCATCGGTTCTGTAGACGATGGGGATCTCGGGGTACTCATCGCGGTAGGCTCCCATCCGCGTGGCTGGAAAAATTTGACCGATGAGGGTGGGGACGCGTACGCAGCCCTGCTTCACTCCCTTCGTTACTGCAAATTTTTCTGAGACGGTCCCTTTGTCTGTGACGCGCGCCATAACCCCGTCGTACCATGCACGTGAATGGCTCAGGACAGCTGAATTTCTGTATGATTTTCCACAACTTATCGCAATCCACTATGTTCAGGGCTTTCATCAAGTCCACGAAAATATTGCCTAGGTGGGTCCGAATTTCCTGGCACGTCCCTTACAGTTGGCGGCATCGCTACCACTCAGGCAAAGTGTCGGAAACCTCGACAACGCGGTGTGGTGCTATTCGAATGAGATATCCACAGGATCAGATCAAAATTTAAGTCAGCACGCGCACGTATGTACACATAAGCAAAATGACACTTCACAAAACCGCAAAAGAGGCACATACCCGCAGCGTAGTGTCCCAACTGCCTGTGCAAATGGCGTTACCGTCAGGACTTGTTCGCAAACAAGAGACCCGGTTTTCATGTCCATAGAGAATGGACACACGTTTGCCCTTCAACACATCCCATACGTTCAAAACGTGATCATTGTAGCCACCAAATATGAGCCGACCTGTAAAATTTTAAGATATTGCTGGGTAACACAAGTTTTTCTTCACCTGAAAAAAAAACATGTATAATTGTCTTTCAAATGGTGACCTACATCTAGCCCTTTTTCTTGAACGGAAAATATTTAGCGAGCTCGCCAGATCTTCTAGCGGCATTAAAGTTCAATGAAGGGGGAGGGGAAACGGGTGGGGATGAACCATTAAGGAGGCGACTGGTGGACTCACCACTGAGAGAGAAGTCCACAGCATTGCAACCGAAAATAACACTGTCCTTTTTATACACGCACAATTCTCGATCTGTGCGGAGATCGAAAAGCCGAATCGTAGCATCATCCGATGCGGTGGCGAAAGCGTCACCACTGGGGAAAAACCGAACAGCATTGACATCTGACTCGTGTCCCTGAAAAACTTGCACGCACTGACCACTCCGCATATCCCACACGTTCGCGCACCGATCAGAACTCTATACGAGGATAATAGCAAGAGCTGAAGGTACCAAACCGGCAAAAAACATACAAAAATCCTCAGATGGTACATGAAATTCGGTGCTTGTGCAAGTAGAGCATAGCCTCATAACACTGTACAACCTAATGTGGATTTGACAGTTTAACCGATAAGTCAGTAAAGGTTCAAACGGGATTAATTTTTATCGATTTCCCCTGCGACCTGCCATGTGCAGGGATTCCTTTAAATGTTAATTTTTGTGTATTCATTTTAAACACTTTTTAATATAACATTTTCCGCTTTTGGGAATGTTCCGTAACACAGACTGTCTTGATACAAGCTACGAGTTTCAATGGTTGAACTTTGTCTGAGATTTCTACAAACAAAAAATTGAGTAAATTAATCTTGTAAGTGCATGAAGAAGTAAGGGATAAAAAGTCAGAAATCCAGATCTTCGTCTTGCTTTGAGCATTGCGTGTCTCCAAAATCTTTTCGTTCCTATAGTGCTTATGCCTGACGGAGTTTACAGTCTCCCAAACATTGAACACTAGCGGCTGCCTGAAAAGCATTGAATAGTTGTTGGATTATCCGGCGCCTTCTCACTTCACGGCTAGGAAGTCTTACACTAGTATTCTTACAAAACTTAGACACCGCGTAGGCCGCCATAAACGTTTATATTTGCGGACAAAATCAGCATGGGTCTGACAAACTTTCAAAGACTGGCTGAATGCCAAAGGACGAAATCGTCATCGCGTCATCGAGTTCATTTTATGTCCTGCGCCCTGTTGTCCCTTTCATTTCCACCTGACCTGCATAAGGGCACTCTGGTTTCCTCGCACAAATGTAGCTAGAAGATTCTGTCCCATATCGGGTGCTACCTAGGTTGTGAAACGCTATCGTTTTGAAACGTCCGCAAACAGTTCAAAACAAGTTGGAGGTCCGAAAATAAAGTAGAGGCAATAAGATGTGGAATTTCATAATTACCTAGCTGCAAGGGCAATAGATCCTCCTTAAAATATAGTATGCTTGTAGTTTTATTTGCAGGGCGTAGCTTAAGGCTGAATTCGCTGCCAATTTCTTTCCGCAATTTACTCCACTTATACTCCAAATTTGTCAAAGCATTGTTGCACAGCAGTCCTCCTACCGACATGCACAACTCTTGCCTTGATTTCCCCAATAAAAACCTTGAAATATGGACTTTATTTTATATATGGCAAGTATACGCGAGCAGGTACTATTGTTTAATATTTCGTCCCTTATCGGCAAGTAACACTCAGTCCGGATGGGTCAGTATGGGAGAACTCCTACCAATAAGTGAAACTTATCAAAAACAATATCACTAAAAGGAGCTAAAAATTTCGTATCGACATTCGATGGTTCTTGTGCAGGAAGCATTTTCGTGGATACAGAAAGTCATTCCTATTAATAAGGACACTGTTCTATGTTGCTGGGCGAAGAAACATCAAATCTAAGCTAAATTTTAGGCCCCAATTCCAGGTTGTCGCGTAATTTAGGAAATTTTGTAACAATACAAATAGGAAGGAACCATTATTGCTATCATTTCCTAACTGAGGACATTTTCACGAGCGAATTCGTAAGAATCCCACGCAAATGGGTGAGACGATAGATGTGCTTTAAATATTAAATTTCGGATAGGAGCTGGTTTGAAACACTTTCTTGCCGAGGTAAAGAAACAAACAGAAGCATTAAAATTGCAGATGTTGCTGCCTTGAAAGTCTGGATATTCGCAGCAAAGACGTAGACATGGGTAATTAAACGTAAGTTTTTTTAAGGTGTCATTTGATATATTTCTGCTATAGTATTGGCCTTAAAATCCGATAAAACTGGGGTTTTTTCAAGTTTCATAGGCTCAACCTTAAGCATTTTGACGTCTTATTTTTCATAATCGACTTTCGGGTTTGCGTAGACGTTCTCAAAAAGTAGAAAATTTAAAAAAAACAACATTGCAATCAGCGATGCCTTAGTTAAAGCACGCTTTCTGATTAGAAGACCGATTTGGCGGTCTGGATGCTAGGCTGAAAACCAGCAGTGGCTTGTCACTGAGAAGACTACAAAACAATGTGACAGATTCTACCTGTTATTGTCCTGAATAGTCTCGTGTCTTGTGGTCAGAGGTAGTAGCCCCTTAGCATTTCTCTCGTAAACAATAAACACCAGGAAACTCTTCAAAACACAAGCAAATACGAAATAAGATCTGAGACGATGAAGTAGAACTGGCTACGAAATTTTATTATTTGTTAAAATAGCAGTTTATTTGTATAAGTGCTTCAACTTTATTTATAATCACGGAAAAAATAAGGATTTGTAACTGTTCTTCTGAAAAGCTATGAAAATTGCACAAAGGCCGAAGGGTGGACCGTTTTAATAAAGACATACCGTTTTTATACGCCTAAACGTTTCGTGTGGACGGCTAGAGGCGCACATCGATTTTCAAGACAGCAAATATCCATCGAATGGTATTGTAATCTCGCCAATCGAAGTATATCATTATCTAGGGGGCATTAGAATCGGACTCCATACACCATCACCTTCTGAAAAATCTTGCCTTAGTTTGTTTAATCACCACCCAGCACATGCGAACAACCTGATAGAAGTTGCTTGAAGAAACCGACTTTTATTCATGAATTATAAAAAACTCTAAGCCCGACAGAACCAGGCCTCCTTCGAACTGGTCAGCACTCGCAATAACACCGACAAAACCATGCGTACTGTCTTTTAAGTGGCGATGCGATAACTATTTCCAGTTTTCAAAAGTCCCAAACAACGCTTCTGTGCTTTCTCAAAACTTTCGTCCACTTAGCTTCTCTGATTCCTGTACCTCGTCCAATATCTGACAACTCTACCTTATTCATCACAGAATATGTGACATAAATTCAGTCAGAAATGTTTGATCAGTCCACTCTTGTGGGAACGACGTTTCGGCTAGGTCGCGACAAAGCACAAGACAGTTAATAGAAAGAAAAAGATGGACCTATATCCCTTTTGTACAGTATTCGTAGTCCACATTTTCACGTACATCCAGACAAGTTATATAATCACGTGTGCTCAAGAGTAAAATAAATGAAATTCGTCATAGGGCCGAACAGTAGGCTCCGCGTGAAGGCCAAGACGAACCCGAGAAATGAGAACCTACAGACTTGAACTAGCTTCTAGTTGTCGTCAGGCCACAAGGCATCTCCGGTGCAGTCAAGCAGGCAAATCCGCCTTTAGAGGTAGGTATAAATAGCAGTTAAATGTAAGTAAAAGAGCTCAGTTATCATACGCTGTCATGTACACAATGGACATATTTCAAACACTTTCCAGGAAGATAATTCGAATCACTGGTAGCCGCCCGTCAAAGAAAAATTGTAAATTCGGCATAATAATGCCCTTAGATGAGACGTACGTCAATAGTCATGTCCAGTTGGATGGCTTCCACAGCTGGACGGGCGCATATTCAAACACAAGCGGCTTAGGTGCTGCAGTCAATGCATACTGGAATTTGGTTTTCTGCTACATATTTGCTATATATTTGGTGATAGTCTGAAAAAACATTCTGGAGAATTTGTAAAACAAACTTGCTCCCATTCCCAATTAATTTCGGATTTTTTACTCCCTTTGCTTTGTGATGTCTGTCTTCTAAAGCTTAAATTTTCGCACATAGCAGTGTCTCTTTTGTATTCACCTATAAATATAAGAATTAGAAATCCTCCTTTTTGGTATTTTTCATTTGTTTTCAAACATCGAAAGAGTGCCCTACATCCTCAGTGAACATATATCTGTGGCTTTACTGTCTCCGTGCTGCGCGTTTGTAGTTTTTCTGTCAGTGGCACGCCTTATCGCATCCCACTCAGCTTTCTATGGGGTCCCTACACCCTCTCCTCTCCTTTCGATCTCTGGCGCAATTTCTAGTATTTAGTTTGAAGAAGCGTTCCGCATTAATTCCGGACTGTAAAGGTCTTACCTTGAGTTTCACATCCAAAACTTCCCAAATTTGACATGTGGGAGCCCGGGATGCTGAGATGTTTCAATAAGAACAAACCAAAAGGAGGTAAGCGTGTACATTACGTGGTCTTTTAATTTTAAGTTATGTGCACCTTATTTTTAGCAGTCTGTGAGGCAGTGGGAAGTCCAATCTAATTATAAATGCAACTTTTACGTATCATTGGGAAAGCAACTAAAGGGGGTATCACTATATGCAAATGTCAGTATTGGTCTACAAAGACATTCCAAAATACTACAAAAGACGAAGTCTAAAGCGGAAATAACGCTAAATCTTGTGTAATCAGAAAAACTTAGGAAAACTCACACCAGAGACGAACACTCTGCCACATTCTGATGGAGAGTTATCAATGCACATAACATCTCCAGCGTGGCCGTGGAAACTTTGGATCATTTGTCCAGACTCAACGTCCCATAGAATACACGAACTGTCACCACTTCCAGTTAAGAGCTGGTGGTCCGACATGTTGAAGAGGCAACATGATAAGTAAGAGCTATGTGTGGCGACTAACTTCTTCCTTACGACGGGGTCCTCGTCAGGAGATAGTGGGTAAACAGTGCATTTATTATCAAGGCCACTAGAGATGCACAACTAAAAAGGCAGACTTACCCACAAGCCACAACAGCGTTTGATGGACTGAAGGAACAGGCCATTACCCATGTTGTTGGCATCGAGATACAGAAGTCTTTCGTTGATGAAAAGGCATCCCATACCATAAGTTTACCATCCTAAAGTAAACGATAAGTAGCGCTTTTTACTTGTGAAGAACTGACAATATGCCTTTTGTCAAGAGACCAGGCAAGACTGAGGACTTTACCCTGATGCCCTTTTAAAATTCGTCGTACTTTCACATTAAATGCGGGAACAGACTCAAAATGTTGGCTCATAAAAGTAACTTATACGTTAACAATCAGTTAGAACACACTTTCTCCATCTGCCATTTTGCTGCGATCTTCTTCAAGTTTTTCTTTAAGAACCTCGACTTCATGCTGTAAACGACCATCTGAATTCTCGTCCATTTCAACCAAATTGAAAAGTTGGCTACGGCTTTGGTCACATGGACTCTTAAAATGGAATATATTAACAATCAACATTAATGTCAGTCATAATTTTTTGTATGCAGTTTACGACACATCCCTAGAAATTTTAGTAAGCTCATTTGTTTGGAAACTGCATAAAGAACTGTTAAGTCGGCCACAGCTCGATACTTGTCTGAATAAAGACATTGACTTTCACTAGTAGTTCTTATCCACTCTGAAACACATAGGAAGAGTTTACTGGGTTTCTTTCAACTTCTTTGAGGGGTTATTTAGTCCTGTCATATGGTACGGAGCGAAACTAGAGCAAATATTCTCATAGCTGTCGAAGGTAGTGGATTCTGCATCCAGGGGATCCAACTCAAACGCGCGGATTCTATAATTATAGGGAGTCTTTTCCCGAGAATCTGTGTTGCATTTGACTCAAGTTCTGTCTCATATAGCCCTTTTATTAAGGAATAATACCGGCTTTGAAATTACTGAAAACACAGATGAGAAATAGTGCCGATAGAAAAGAACGGACTAATCGCTAGACACACTTAAAAAAGAAGATGCAGTCCCTGAAACAAGTGCTTTTCTAGCCTGAAGCTTCGCATTCTCACTTGAGCCCTATATCGAAGGCCTTTGCGGATAAGTGTTTCATATGTAAACCGAGCAGAGTGTTATACGATGCAGTCGTCAATCAACGACATGCTTGCTGTAATGCTCGGCCCCCGCGTTCATCGCCTGCGAACGCTTTGAAACGGTTACTGCATGCAAATCTGTGCACAAATCATTAATTGTCGTGAGTTCCTTCCCGTTGTTGGTTTTTGATGTCAAAGTTAATCGGTAATTTACTTCGCCCTCAATTAGACACGCCGGGATGGCATCTTTTCGCAACTGTGCTGTTTGCTGATTTGGATGTTAACGCTGTAAGCGCTTGCCAGTTTCGTTCTATTTGCCGCTTTCCACAGCACTTTGGCTTTTAAGCCATCACAAGTTTTCTCGAACGCGAACACGTAGGAAGTCTGGCTGCATATTTTTCTCCGGCATGATAGCAGTGTCCCAACACCGATTCGCGGCGGATTGGAGTGTTGCGGCGTCAAAAATAAAAGGCTACTGAATTAAGTAGCCACGTTTTTAAGCATGTTGTGCCTGTTCCTGTTTGTATTGGACTTGCTGGTTTCCTCCATTGAGGTATTTTTGGCGATTTCTGCTGATTGTATTTACCGCATTTTTTACGGTAGCATTAACATTGATGGTACTGGTGTTAATACAAGTGAGATTTGCGTTAAATACGCCATAAATGTTCGTAGTAGTAGTAGTAGTAGTAGTAGTAGTAGTAGTAGTAGTAGTAGTAGTAGTAGTAGTAGTAGTGGTAGTACTAGTAGTAGTAGTTGTTGTTGTTGGTGGTGGTGTTGTTGTTGTTGTTGTTGTTGTTGTTGTTGTTGTTGTTGTTGTTGTATCTCTGATATTTTACAGCATCAGCCGTACTAAATTTGCAATTCCCAGATGTATTCGATCTAGTGAGTGCAGTAGCGATCGGACAGGCTCCAGAAGTAACCGCAGTGGCCAGCCTTAATTTAGTAGATTTGGCTGGGGCTGTGCTGCTTGTAAATGACATTATAGTACCGGTGTTTACTGTTGTCGTACTACGTGCGGAAATAGTGGAATTTAAAATGGTTTTCGAACTATTGGCTGAGGCCGAGTTAGTATGTAAATATGCAGCATTTTCAGTAGTCCTCGTGGTAATAGTGGTAATGCCAGTGACACTACTATTATTAGTAGGAGTAGCGGTATAAGTAACCGTAACAGACGTAGTGTTGGCGGCAGTAGCACTATTAGTTGTTTTAGTGGTAGTACGGACAGTAGCAGTAGTTAACTGCATTGTAGTAGTTGGGACAGTGGAAGGGTTGAGTGGCACTAGTTCTGGCTGTGGGAGTTTTTGTATTGCTACCACATCCGTTATTATACATAGTAGTCCTGACAATATTGGCGGAGACGACACTAGTAATGGTAGCCGTTTTCATCTACGGGACAGTACCTGACTTACTAACCGTACTATTAGTAGAAGCCTTAGCGTCAGACACAATATTAGTACCATTGATATTAGCGGTAGTAATATATGCATAACCATTAACAGAGACAGTTGTTCAGGTAGCATCCGCTGTAGTATTTCTCGTACTACTGCCTACCGCCGACCGCCCATTTGCTACCGATCAAGTATTCGAATTGATACCAGCTTCAACGAAATTTCTTAGTGTTGGATTACTGTTGGGAGTGGTGCGCGCGCCGTACGACTTCTATCTCAATGTCGCGAGTGCTACCCTGAGTGGTACTTAGAGCTGTTGTAGTATTGCATGCCACAGAAACCAAAGGCGCAGTAGACGTGCTGGTAGCGATAATAGTTACGCCCCCGGTTATTGCAGTAATATTCGCAGTAATCGTGTTGGTAGTAGTAGTAGTAGTAGTAGTAGTAGTAGTAGTAGTAGTAGTAGTAGCAGCAGCAGTGGTGTAGTAGCGGTAGTAGTAGTAGTAGTAATAATAATAGTTATAATAATAATGCTACTAATAACGGCTTTTGATAATAGTGGTTGTAGTGGTAGCAGTAGCACTGGCAGCTGTCATGATAGCAGATCTTGTAGAAGTAGACGTGCTCGCAGCATTATTAATAGATGCCTGTATAGTCTAAAAAGCAGTGCATATACCGGTTGCAGTAGTTATACAGGTGGAGGTAACAGAACCATCCATAGCAGAATTAGACGTAGTATTCTATGTAATAGCAGTATGAAGCTGAGTATCCTCAAATTACCATTATGGTCACCATCCTTGTAGAAGTTTATTAGTATGGACTTCAGTATAGGCAGGTCTAGACGCCTCCCTTACATTGCCCGCAGATATATGTGTCTCAGCATCAGAAAGAGCTTTCGCTTTAGTAACGGTAGTCGTTGTATTATCCATAATGGTAGTTTTATCGTCAGACTTACTGCTATTCGCATCGCTCTGTGGTAAGGGTTGCTGCAGTTGTAGCTGCACTAAGTTTAGTACTAGCAGGTTCCGCATGCATTTCTAATAGAGGCATCTGTCCGAGTGGTCATACTAATATTTCTATTAAGCCTGTTGACATCCGCGGCAGCCTACACCATTTGCCGTAGCAGAAGGATACCCAGTTGTGCTTGTCAATTCCTTGCCAGTAGTTTTTTCAGCAGTAATAATTTCAGAGTTTTTCGGCTGCAGTATTCTATAGACGGACTGTACTACTGCTTACGGTAGCAGTGACAATAAAAATACAGTTGCCGTTGTAATAACGGTTGTGCTACAGGCAAAGATATTAACAATCCCGCTTGGAGTGACATTACCGACAGCGTAATACCGGCGGCCGTAATCATACAACTCGTAATGGCTGCGGTGTTAGGAATTACCCTCGCACAGATCGCTTCAGTGGTGGTGGTGGGGGTGGTAATAATACCACGTGGTTTCTTTAATTACCTTAGTTGTACTTGCAGCATTATTTCTACCCGAACCCTTCTCAGCAGAAATCGTTGTGCGCGCATAGCACAGCCAACGGATTTAATCGCCCGGATTTCTTCCACTTAAGGTTTGCTTCCAAGAAACTATTTTCATGGAAGTTCAAAAAATGATTTTCTTGCTTAATTTTCACTTTCTACAAAAACTAAACTACGGAATTGCAGCCAACTATATATTCGGCGTTATCTACGGGAAACCGTCTTTCCGAACTTATGCTCATGGTAGCCTTGCAGTACGCCATTCATGATCGAGCAAGGCGTTGAGTAGCTATTGCCAACCATGACCTTCAGATATCGGTTGGATAGATAGGACCCGATAAAGTCTAACTGAGGCGGTCGGATGCCGAGACCTCCCAATTTCGCCAAAAGACGTCTGTCGGGCACCTTGCTGAAGGCTTTGCTAAGATCAAGGTAGATAACTACCACTGACTGCTGTTCATTACGAAGAGAATCGATTCGATATAGAAATACCAAGGTAAAAATGCATGCTGATTAGAATTCACAAGTTGGTTATCTAGACGGGAGTCGAGAATTTCTTTGAAAATTATCCCTTCAAGAACTTTTGCTAGAGACTGTGTTTTGCGCACGCCCCGATATTTATTAATGTATGTATGCATTTGAAGGGTTGGAGGCAGACCCCTTGATAACCCTATTTATGTACAATGCTTTCGCAGATTCGCACTGAAAATAAAGCGACAGACATTTGAAATGTGGTCGGATCACAGTACAGTCATAATGACAAGGAAGCGCACCTGTTCAGTGTTAGTCAGCATGGAAAGATTGTATATGATAAAGTGTTTTACCGAGCTGGCTGCTAGTAGTCATGTTGTAAAAACCGGTTTCTGTCGCAAATCAAGCGAGTAAGTTTTCTTTTAAACACGCGAATTGTGTCCGCCATCAAGCTCTCACTTGCTAGCGAGCTCCATGGTCAGACAACTCGATGGCTGAATGAAAACTTCCTACGGCCTAGCCGCGTGCGTCCGCTCCTGACTTCGCAAGGATGACCGTGCAATTGGTTTGCATGAGCAAGCTCAAAAAGCTCTCCGTTCTCAGTGTGTAACCTTCGCCACGGACAACCAGGGATGCCCAGAGTAGACCGCAGTCTAGCTG